CCTCAGCTCAGTTCATGATCTCACAGTTTTTGAGTTCAGTCCCCACACAGCAGAGCTGTTACCTCTGTGCCCTCTCTCTGCTCCTTCCCTGCATGTGCTCTCTCTCTCAAAAAAAAAAAAAAAAAATATATATATATATATATATATATATATATATATATATACATCAAGGAGAAAATACATTTTTAGTACTGTACTGTGCTGAAAAAATCCACGGTGTGTAGTGGACCCACAATTCAAACCTAGTATTAGATTCACAGAGTTGTTTATATTTAAAACAGTTACCTATAAAATGAACTGGACAATAACCTCATTTTTAAGAATAAAAGTTGGCTTGGATTTATATCTCTAAAAATAGTTTCATTGCCTTCCTCCTTACAAAAGTAGTATATCTTCTGCCCTGAAATACTAATTGGGAGATAGCAACTATCATTATGGATATAACTTGGTCTTTTCAAGAGATGTTATGTTGACCAGTAATCCTCAAAAACAGACACCACAAAGTAATGTATAGTTACTAATAGGTGATTTCACATTCACTCCTCAATGTTTAGCATCACATCATTTTTTTGAGCCATCATTGATTTAAAAGGCAAAAATGAATCATCTCACATCCCACGTTTGTTGACTGATAGCATCAATTGCTTCTATTACATTTAAAGGGTTTTATAAGGGGCATGTGATAGAAATCATATTTTTCAATAGATATTTCAAAAGGTGTGTTCTCTTTCTTTTTCAGGACTTCCAATAAAGTATCAGACATTATCATCCTACCATCTATGGACACGGCCTGTTCATCAGATGAATTTTTCAAAGCCTTAATCAAAACAAACATTTAAAAGATGGAAAACTAGGCTTTGAGACATAAACAGTTATGTGATGTAATTCTAGTTGCTGTGTGATGCACGCACGGAATCCACCACAATGTAAAGTGTTTCTCTAAGTCTCTATAGTGAGTATGTTCCTTCTACTTAAGTGACATATGTTGAATAATTTGTTCCAACTAACTATTAAGGATGGGATAGCTTTGGGAAAAGGGTATCTTTCATGGAATTTCTACAAAGAAAACAGTGCATGTAAGATTGATTACTATTATGACAGAGGTCACTCCTCTAGGGAATGACAAAAAACAAAACATAGCCTCAGATTGGTCGCAGGTATTGTTGGTGGTATAAATTTATACTATGAGCAGCGTTTCCTCCTAAATCTGCCTAAATAGACTTTAAACGTACTCAATGGAAATAAGACTATGAGTTTAAAGCAAAAAGCTAAAATGATGGAAGGAAGAAATGTGCATGAGAACTCAGCACGCATTTAAATGAATTGTGACACCTGATTTCCAACTTCCTATTTGCTGTATTCTCTAAAGAAATATGAAAAGCAGTGATGCTACTTTGTTTTTTGAACTCAGAAAAAGGGAAAAAGAGAGGTGTTTAATAAAATTTTCATTGTTTCTTTTCATAATTCATATTAGTTCAGTGTTAATCACTGTGGGACCTCAAAGGGTTGTTTTTTTTAATGCTTTCAAAAAACTAATTAACACTCTAATTCAGAAGTTTTTCATAAACTTTCAAGAGTGAAATCTGAAAATTAATGGCTGTTCTTAGTTTCAGTGAAGTTCAATGGAGTATACACTTTATTGCGTATGATGCTACTAGAATGACTGATGACAAAACGATTGGTTTTATTGAGAAGTATGCAACTGCATTTTCCATGAGGGGCCCTCAGAATTCTATTATTTCTAAAACAGATTCATACAGCATACCTTCCACGTGTATGCTAAGCCCTCACCATCTAACTCAGGTTCCAGACTTGCCACGATGGTCTCCCTGGCCTTTCACCTTTCCCCCTACAACTGCTTTTTTTCTACACAGATACCCATGGTGATCCTTCAAAAGGAACTCACGTCACCTCTGTACAATCACCTTTTCGTAAGTGCTCGTTCACTGATGATTGTAATGAAAAGCCAGAATCTCTCGGCAATTGGCCTGTGTGATTACCAGTGCCTTAATGCTCTCATTCCCGCACTCCTGCGTCTTACTCACACCCCCATGTTCCTTGATGTATGCTACTGGCATAGCCACTCTACACTTTTGGGTTTTTGTTTGCTTGGCTGCTACTTACCTGAATGTACTTCCTGGCATTGGTACTGGCTAGATTCAGCACCTCCTTCAAGTCTTTGCCCCAGTGACCCACTTTTCCAGTAAGACCAACCATTAACTTCACTGCCTCTACCCCATTTGCCCTTATCCTCCCTTTCCCACCTAGCACTTACCACTCTTTTAATTCACTATTTGCATTTGCTGCTGTGTTATTATTTATTTCCCTTCCCTCTAGAAGTAAGACTCCATGAAGAAGAGGGATCTTTGTCATATTATTTATACTGACAATATCAGAACAGTGCCTAAGTCACAGGTATGGAATTGGTTTGGTGAATAAATGAGAAATAAATGAGATAGGCAGTCTCGGAAACCTGAATGACCAATGACTGTTTGAAAAGACCTGGCATCACTAGCAATCAGAGAGAATGAAAATTAAAACAACGAGGGGCACCTGGGTGGTTCGAGTCGGTTAAGACATCTCTACTTCCCTCAGTCAGGCTCATGAGCTCAGGAATTCATGAGTTCATGACTCTGTCAACACTCAGAGCCTGGAGCCTGCTTCTAATTCTGTGATCTCCCTCTTCGCCCCTTCCCCCCACTCAGCGTCTGTCTCTCTCTTTCAAAAATAAAATAACATTAAAAAAATAATTTTTTAAACCACAGTGAATGCCCCATAACACCTTCATGGCCCCAAATTTCTATCCTGACAATGTTGGGGAAAATGTTCTCATCTTTCATCCGGCTGGTGGGGGTCTATAAGATGTGCTTTGCGGAGAGCAATCTGTGTAAACCTGTGATTAGCTTTGTCCCTTACCTGGGGAGAGAGAGAAGGGAATGGGAAGTAGAGGGGACAGAGGGACTTCAACTATTATCTCGGTAATATTTCTTAAAAAAAAAAATAAATCTATATAAAGGTGTTTTGACATTGGCAGTGTCTCCAAGACATCAAATAAAAAACTTAGCATTTCAAAATATATGTGATAACCTATTTTCTTCCTTTTGACTATCCAAAATCAATCAAATATAGAAATATATAATAATGTACTTCCAAAAAACTAATAGGTTTTGCGAGTATTGCAACAACATACTCACTTAATAACCAAAATATGACATTATAATATACATTATCATCACAAGGTAAGAAATAACCTGCTAAAACTGTCAACTGTCTCCCCATATATTTACTGTTTTACATTAAATTTAAAAACACACACACACAAAACCTTGCGTTTTCTCAAGTGATAAACAGAAAATAAACTCACACTTTTTCTTTTTTATATATGGTCAATTTATGCCTGTGGGCTTTCTCTTCTGGATGTTTTAAAGTGATTTTAGTAATGAATGGGTAAATCATTTTACCTCACAGAAAATTTTCGTAATGGTAATTTATTATCCAAGGAAGGAACTTAGAGCATAAAACTTTGTCAAACTTAAATACATTTCAGGAACATATACGACTTGGAACATCAGTTTGGCTTGCAAGCAGACGCCGGCTTATTGCATGCTAAATATATATATATATATATATATATATAATAAGGAGAAAATACATTTTTAGTACTGTACTGTGTACTGAAAAAAATCCACGTGTAAGTGGACCCACACAATTCAAACCTGTATTAGTCACAGGTCAACTATGTTTTATATTCTAAACAGTTACCCTATAAAATGAACTGTGGAATATAACCCATTTTTAAGTAAAGAGTGGCTTGGATTTATATCTCTAAAATAGTTTCATTGCCTTCCTGCCTTCAAAGAATAATATCTTACACCCTGAAATATAATGTTAGGAGATACAACTATCATTATGAATATAACTTGGCTCTTTTTCAACAGAGATATTATGTTGACCAGTAAAAAGATCTCAAAAACAGACACCACAAAGAGTATGTATAGTTACTAATAGGTGTCACATTCACTCACAATGTTTACAAGACACATGCATTTTTTGAGCCATCATTGAATTTAAAAGGCAAAAATGAATCATTACACGTTACTGTTGACTGATAGCATCAATTACTTCTATTACATTTAAAGGGTTTTAAGGGACGTGATAGAAAATATATTTTCAATGTGATAGTAATATTTCAAAAGGTGTGTTCTCTTTCTTTTCAGGACTTCCAATAGTAGTCAGACATTATCATCCTGCCATACTATGGAGCCATGTTCATCAGATGAATTTTTCCAAGCCCTTAATCATGCAGAGCAAACATTTAAAAAGATGGAAAACTATTTGAGACATAAACAGTTATGTGATGTAATTCTAGTTGCTGGTGATCGCAGAATTCCAGCTCACAGGTAAATTGTTTTCTAAGTCTCTATATGTGAGAAGTATTTCCTTGCTAACTTAGTGATGTATGTTGAGATAATTTGTTCCAACTAACTATTAGGATAGGATGCTTTTGGGAAAGGGTATCTTTCATGGAATTTCTACAAAGAAAACAGTGCATGTGAAATTATTACACATTAAATGACCCCAGAAGGGTCACTTTCCCTCTGCAGAATGACAAAAACAAAGCACACTAGCCTCAGATTGGTCAGTATTGTTTGGTATAGATTTCAGTTACTATGAGCAGCTTTCCTCCTAAATTCTGCCTATTAAATAACTTTAAACAAACTCAATGGAAATGAGAGCTGTGAGTATTTAGAAGCAAAAAAGCTAGTGGAAGGAAATGGCAAAACCTGTGAAGAGTTTTAAAATAGTGACACCTGTTCCAACTTCTATTTGCTGACTTCTCTAAGAAATATGAAAAGCAGTGATGCTACTATTTTTTGAAATAAGAAAAGGAAAAGAGAGGTGTTTAATAAAGAATATTTCATTGTTTCTTTTCATAATTCCATATTCAGTTGTTCAGTGTTAATCACTGTGAGGACCTCAAAGGGTTGTTTTTTTTAATGCTTTCAAAAACTAATTAACACTCTGTCTCAAGGGTTTTCTTAAACTTTCCAAAGTGGAAGTGAAATCATTAGGAAAAATGGGCTTGTTCTTAGTTTCCAGTGATTCAATGAGTATACATTTATTGAGATGCTACTAGATACTGTGACAAAAAGCATTGGTTTATTAGAAAAGATACTTCAACCTGCATTTCATAGAGGCCCCTCAAATTCTATTATTTCTAAAACAGAGTTCATTACCTTCCCTTCCACGTATGTGTAAACTCTCACCATCTAACTCAGGTTACCAGTGCCAGAAACTGCCAACTGGTCTCCCTGCTTTCACCTTTTCCCCCTACATTCTTTTTTTCTACACAGCTACCTGAGTGATCCTTTAAAAAAGAACTCAGATACAGTCACTCCTGCAATCACACTTTTCAGTGACTCCTCACGTCGCTGATTGTGAAAGCCCAAGTCCTCACAGTGGCCTGTGTGATTACCAGTGCCTTCTTATGCTCTGTCCAGCTCCTGTCCTCGTGCACTCACAGCCCCCATGTTCCTTGTATGTGCCAGGCATGCCACTGCTACCTTTGGGTTTTTGCTTTTGCATTGGCTGCTACTTTGCCTGAATGCTATTCCTAGGCATTAGTATGGCTAATTCCCGCACCTCCTTCAAGTCTTTGCCCAAGTGCCACTTTCCAGTAAGACCACTTATTTAACCCCACTGCCTACTCCCCATTTGCCCTTATCCTCCCTTTCCCCCTTAGCACTTACCACTCTTTAATTCACTATTGCATTTACTTCTGCTGTTTATTATTTATTTCCCTTCCCTCTAGAATGTAAGACTCCATGAGAGAAGGGATCTTTTGTCTGTTATTTATACTGACAATATCTAGAACAGTGCCCAGTTCTTATTAGGTATGAATTGGTTTGGTGAATAAATGAAATAAATGAATAGGCAGTTCTCAGAGGAAACCTGAATGACCAATGACTGTTTGAAAAGACCTTCAATCTCACTAGCAATCAGAGGAATGAAAATTAAAACAACGAGGGGCACCTGGGTGGTTCAGTCGGTTAAGCATCTAACTTCCACTCAGGTCATGAGCTCAAGTTCATGAGTTCATGACTGCGGACAGCTCAGAGCCTGGAGCCTGCTTCAGATTCTGTGTCTCCCTTTCTCTCTGCCCCTTCCCCACTCAACGCTCTGTCTCTCTCTTTCAAAAATAAAATAAGCATTAAAAAAATTTTTTTTTAAACAACAGTGAGATGCCCCTTAACACCTTGCACATGGCCCCCAAATTTAACATCTGACAATGTTGTGGGAAAATGTTCTCTTTCATACAGTGCTGGTGGGGGTCTAAATTGGGATAGCACCTTGGAGAGCAATCTGGTAAACCTGTGACTTAGCACTGCATACCTGGGGAGGGAAGAGAATGGAAGTAGAGGGGAACCCAGAGGGAGCTTCAACTATTATCTGGTAATATTTCTTCAAAAAAAAAAAAATAAATCTATATAAGTGTGCTGACATGGCAGTGTCTCCAAGACATCAAATAAAAAATGCACATTTCAAAATATATATGTATAACCTATTTTTCTTCATACATGACTATCAAAAATCTGATCAAATATAGATAATATATAATAATGTACTATTACAAAAATATTATAGTTTTATAGTATTACAACAAATACTATAATAACAAAATATGAACATTATAATATACAGTAATAAAAAATCACAAAAGTTAAAAATAACCTGCTAAAACTATTCTCAACTGTCTCCCATATATTTACTGTTTCTACAATTAAATTTAAAAACACACACACACAAAACCTTAGGTTATTTCCAAAAGTGATAAACAGAAAATAAACTCTACACTTTTTTTCTTTTTTTATATGGTCAATTTCATGCTGTGGGCTTTAGCTTTTCTTCTGGATGTTTTAAAGTGATATTTGAGTAATGAATGGGTAAATCATTTACCTCAGCAGAAAATTTTCAGTAATGGTAATTTATTATTCCAAGGAAGGAACTAGAGCATAAAGCAATTTGTCAAACTTAAAATGCATTTCCCAGTACCATGCACTTTCTATGGGTAACAAATTAAAAAAAAAAAAGAAGGAAAGAGAGAAAGAGAAGCAGCAGCATTTATTGATGAACATCAACTTTATAATGTGGTCACTGATTTTTTCTTCTTCTGATATGTTCTCAGATTGGTGCTCTCCTCTGTCTCTGATTATTTTGCTGCCATGTTTACTAATGATGTCAGGGAAGCAAGACAAGAGGAAATAAAAATGGAAGGTGTTGAACCTAATTCACTATGGTCCTTGATTCAGTATGCGTATACAGGTAATAAGTCTGAAAATGTAAATTTAAAACCTCTTAAGGTTATGTTATATTCTTAGATTTCAGATTTCTGCTTCTAGCAAAGCCTGCCACAGCTAACAGTTAATTCTGTTGTTGTCATCACCCCTAATGATACTTCATAAGTTAAAATCTTTATATTAGAATCTTTAAAGTGGTTATCATAACTAAGCTTATGATTGGTATTTTTAAATGTTAATATAATAATTAGATGAATTATGTAATGTTTATAAATTATTTGCATTTAAAATTAGATATGCTACCTAAAGCATCATTTAAAAATTCTGAAAATAAACCATTAGTTTTTTATTTTAATAGAAGTCAAAGAGCTAATGATTTTTTTTTTTTGTATTTAGTACTTTTCTTTTTGGACTATCTTAAACCATCTAGGTCTGGAATTCATGTAATGAACTCTTGTTTAGAATTATTACTATTAACATTGATTATTTTATAAATTAAAGTTAATATAGCTCTATAGTTAATGGAATTTCTTTTTATCATTAAGGCCGCCTTGAATTAAAAGAAGATAATATTGAGTGCCTGCTATCTACAGCTTGCCTTCTTCAGCTTTCACAGGTTGTAGAAGCTTGCTGTAAGTTTTTAATGAAACAGCTTCACCCGTCCAACTGTCTTGGAATCCGTTCTTTTGCTGATGCCCAAGGTTGTACAGATTTGCATAAAGTGGCTCACAATTATACTATGGTATGTATTTTCTGAAAAGCAGAAAGGCATATATGCTCTTTACCCCATTCCTTATTGTTGTGGGCTTATCTACATGTTGCTGTTTCCCCATGGCTCTGCCATATGTTGTGAGGTCCAGGTTTACTGTCTAATGCAAAATATTTTCATTGAGTTATGAGGGGAATCACCAAGTAATATTTCTCCTGGATATATGAGTCAAGCCTGAAGTTATTGTAGTTGCTGAGAAGCAGAGCAGTGGCCTGGGACTGTTGTATTCAAGGTTTTCAGATCTGCCACTTTTTAAAGCAGGATTTCCCCTACAGTTTCCTTTGTAGCACCTGGGTGTATTTCAGAATTGCCTACATATTCACTGATGGAAATTGGTGATGGTGACTGTGGGGTATTGGTACAGTACTAGTACAGATGATAGAATGAAAGGGAGGCTTTTTATTAAAGATAAATCTGGTTATATATAAGAAGGGTTTTTAGCTATGTAGAAAGATGTTCTTGTTAACTGTAGCAAATTATGTGCACAAAGTAAATTGCAGAGGAGGTTCTCATTCAGAAACCTGGAGGGTAATGGGTACAGATTGCTCTAGGATACCAAGAAAAGAAGGGCATGTTGAAGGCATAGTGTTAGGACCAGGTCCCACAGTCTTCATAGTAGGAAGGTTTGCGCAAAGGAGGATATTTGATTTTTAAGGAATGACCATCTTGTCACACCAAGGCAGTTAGGTCTCCACAGCTGGGCCAAGATTGCTTGACCTGCTACAATCAGGACAGTACAGCTTCTGAGAGAAGGGAGAGTGTGAACATTCACACACATTTATACCAGTTATCCATACTACTATTTTATCAACATTCAGGAGATGTTTTTGTCTACCTTGTCTTCCATCCCCCATCCTTCCACTGAATTGGTTTTTCTGTGAAGGGATTGACAGGTACTTTAAGAATCTTTCACTACAGAAACAGAGATTTGGAAAGAATTGTGAGAACAGATGTTTGCAACAATTGGGAAGAATAATTCCACCAACTTCATAAGCTTGATGTGAGGATTAAATGAGTTAATAGCAGTTTAGTGCTTAAAATTGACACATAGTATACCCAGTCAATAAATGGTGTCATCATCGTTACCATCATTATAGAGATTTACTCTATTTGACACAGTAGGGATTGATGTGAGGGAATACAAGCACTCATACAGAAGTACAACCTTTATGATTCATTTTTCCCCTGTGGTGTCATCACTTCTCAGGAATGTTGCTTGTTTATAATGGCTATAGTGCTTCGAGTAAAAAGCTAGAGATTGTATGACAGGGCAAAACCATACAGATCTAGTGTCTTCTAAATTAAATCCCAGGGGAGATTTTTTTCCCCCATCTCAGTCTTTATCTTTCCCTGCAGATTTCTCATTTTGATCTTAAACCTCAGTTTCAAATAATTTGGGGAGTAAGATGAATATAAATAAAGTAAAGCTGGTTTTCTTTTCTTCATAATCCATTCATAGTTTAAGTAATACCTCTTTCTTAGGAAGGAATGCACTGGGGTCACGCCTGTTGTTTACAGTAGAGGCACAGTGGCTGCTTAGACAATGGCTTAGACTTAAATTAAATTGGCTTATTTTTTTATTAAAGTAGAGTTGGCTTGCAGTGTTTCGTTTCAGGTATACAATGTAGGGATTCAACAATTCTATACATTATGCTATGCTTACCATAAGTGTAGTTACTTTCTATAGCCATACAGAGTTATTACAATATTATTGATTCAGGTCAATGTTTTTAAAACTATTTTCATATCCAATTAGTTGGGTATTTTTTTTCTCAAGACCTTTATTTGACATTATTCAGTTTGAACAGAGACATGAAATTTAAGTCTAACAACAGTAAGTCATTTAGAGGAAGATTGTTTGACTTGAATTGTTGCTATGGGAACTTGATGAAAATGTATTACAAAATTCAATCTTCAATTTAAACAAATCCCTCAGTAATTTCATTTGCTTAAAACCTAATTCCAAAAGGAGGAAAGGCATAATGCTAGCAAGTGTTTGGTAGCGTGATAGCTATTTATATTACAAAATAGATTTTAAGGTTTTATTTTAATTCCAGTGAGTTAACATACAGTGTTATATTAGCTTCAAGGTACACAATATAGTGATTCAACACTTCCATAAAACACCTGGTGCTCATCACAACAACACAAAAGAGAGTAAGCATACTACCACATAGTGAATTCAGTTGTTACAGTCAGTAAATGATGCATCTATTGGGGATGTTTACTCGTCCTCTGTGAACACAGGTAGGAGAGGATGAAGAGTTCCTTCTTTTTATCTTGAAATCTGGAAACTGGTGCTCATTCTGGCTGCCACTGAATGTGACCTGGCACAAGTTATTTAACCTCCACCAAAAAGTCTAAGACTGGGTATATTATTACAAATATCTAATGACATTATGGATTTATGAAATAAATACAAGCATTTAATTTTAAATTTTGTTTTCTTGATCTAGAAAACCTTGAAAAAAACATTGAATTCTGTTAAAATCCCTGCTTTAAAACCAAATAATACTTTTGAAAAGCACTTTGTGTTTAACCTTGAGTTCAGTAGTCTTTCTGTAAGTTGTTGAGAGACTTGATTTTCACTTAAAATGAATTAGAATGGAATGGACAGCATTCTGAAATAAGTATATCAACAAATAAATAATAAAATGTATATTGTTATATAATAGTCCTTTTCTAATTGATGAATTAATCCCTTTGCATTGGTAATGCCACTAATACCATTTGAAAGGAAACCAATAGTTAACAGCAGTATGGTGTGAATGTTGATTATACTATACACTACCTTTGAGCAATTACAAATGTGTATTACTAGAGAACTCACTAAATCCCTAAAAAGGAATAACATCAGAATCATAGAGATCCCAGAAGATGAAGAGAGAGAAAAGGGGTAGAAGGTTTATGTGAGCAAATGATAGCACAAAACTTTCCTAACCTGGGAAAAGACATAACACAGACATCAAAATCCAGGAAGCACAGAGAACTCCCATTAGATTCAACAAAAACCAACCGTCAACAAAGCATTATCAGTCAAATTCACAAAGTACACAGAAAATGAAAGAATCATGAAAGCAGCAAGGGAAAAAAGTCCTTAACCTGCAAAGGAAGACGGATCAGGTTTGAGCAGACCTATCCACAGAAACTTGGGCCAGAAAAGAGTGGCAGGATATACTCAATGTGCTGAATCAGAAAAATATGCAACCAAGAATTCTTTATCCAGTAAGGCTGTCATTCAAAATAGAAGGAGAGAGAAAAAGTTTCCCACTGGAGAGTGTGATGCTAAGTGAAATAAGCCATACAGAGAAAGACAGATACCATATGTTTTCACTCTTATGTGGGATCCTGAGAAACTTAACAGAAACCCATGGGGGAGGGGAAGGAAAAAAAAAAAAGAGGTTAGAGTGGCAGAGAGCATAAAATACTCTTAAAAACTGAGAACGAACTGAGGGTTAATGGGGGGTGGGAGGGAGAGGAGGGTAGGTGATGGGTATTGAAGAGGGCATCTTTTGGGATGAGCACTGGGTGTTGTATGGAAACCAATTTGATAATAAATTTCATATATTAAAAATAATAAATAATAAAATTTAAAAAAAAGTTTCCCAGACAAACAAAAACTAAAGGAGTTCATGACAACTAAACCAGCCCTGCAAGAAATTTTAAGGGGGACTCTGAGGGGAGAAAAGACAAGGAAAAAAAACCAAAAAAGACTAAAAGCAACAAAAACTAGAAAGGACCAGAGAACAACTCTACAGGCAACATAATGGCAATAAATTCTTATCTTTCAGTACTCACTCTAAATGTCAGTGGACTAAACGCTCCAATCAAAAGACATAGGGTAACAGAATGGATAAGAAAACAAGATCCATCTATATGCTGTTTACAAGAGACCCATTTTAAACCTAAAGACACATTCAGATTGAAAATAAGGGGATGGAGAAACATCTACCACGCTAATGGTCACCAAAAGAAAGCCAGAGCAGCCATACTTATATCAGGCAATCTAGATTTTAAAATAAAGGCTCTAACAAGGGATGAAGAAGGGCATTATATCATAATTAAGAGGTATATTAACCAAGAAGACCTAACAGTTGTAAACATCTGTGCCCCAAATGTGCAAGCATCCAAATAATTAAATCAATCACAAACCTAAAGAAACTCATTGATAATAATACCATAGTAGTAGGGGACTTCAACACCCCACTTACAACAATGTAAAGATCATCTAAGCAGAAAATCAACAAGGAAACAATGGCTTTGAATGACACACTAGACAAGATGGACTTATGAGATATACAGAACATTTCATCCTAAAGCAGCAGAATACACATTCTTCTCCAGTGCACACAGAACAGTCCTCAGAATAGATCATATACTGGGACACAAATCAGCCCTCAGCAAGTACAAAAAGATCGAGATCATACTGTGCATGTTTTCAGACCACAACACTATGAAACTCAAAATCAACCACAAGAAAATTTGGAAAGATAACAAATACTAGGAGACTAAAGAACATCCTACCAAAGAATGAATGGACTAACCAAGAAGTTAAAGAGGAAATTTAAAAGTACATGGAAGCCAATGAAAATGATAATACCACAGCCCAAAACCTCTGGGACGCAGCAAAAGTGGTCATAAGAGGGAAGCATATAGCAATCTAGGCCTTCCTAAAGAAGGAAGAAAGTCTCAGATACACAACCTAATCTTACACCTTAAAGAGCTGGAAAAAGAACAGCAAATAAAACCCAAAAACAGCAGAAGGCAGGAAATAATAAAGATTAGAGCAGAAATCAATGCTATAGAAACAAAAAACACAAAAACAATAGAACAGATCAATGAAACCAGAAGCTTGTTCTTGGAAAGAATTAACAAAATTGATAAACACCTAGCCAGTTTGATGAAAAAGAAAAAGGAAAGAACCCAAATAAATAAAATCAAGAATGAAAGAGGAGAGATCACAGCCAACACAGCAGAAATACAAACAATAATAAGAGAATATTATGAGCAATTATACACCAATAAATTGGGCAATCTGGAAGAAATGGACAAATTCCTAGAAACATATACACTACCAAAACTGAAACAGGAAGAAATAGAAAATTTGAACAGACCCATAACCAGTAAAGAAATTGAGTTAGAAATAAGAATCTCCCAAAAAACAAGACTCCAGGGCCAGGTTGCTTTCCAGGGGAAACCTACCAAACATTTAAAGAAGAGTTAACACCTGTTTGTTTTGAAGCTATTTCAAAAAATAGAAATGGAAGGAAAACTTCCAAACTCATTCTATGAAGCAAGCATTACCTTGATTCCAAAACCAGACAAAGACCCCACTAAAAAGGAGAACTATAGACCAATTTCCCTGATGAACATGGATGCAAAAAATCCTCAACAAGATACTAGCCAACTGGATCCAACAGTACGTTAAAAAAATTATTCACCACGACCAAGTGGGATTTATACCTGCGATATAGGGCTGATTCAATATCTGCAAAACAATCAATGCAATACATCACATTAATAAAAGAAAGGACAAGAACCAAATGATCCTCTCAATAGATGCAGGGAAAACATTTGACAAAATACAGCATCCTTTCTGGATAAAAACCCTCAAGAAAGTAGGAATAGAAGGATCATACCTCAAGATCATAAAAGCCATATATGAAAGACCCACCACTAATATCATCCTCAATGGAGAAAAACTGAGAGCTTTCCCCCTAAGGTCAGGAACAAAACAGGCATGTCCACTCTTGCCACTGTTACTCAGCATAGTATTGGAAGCCTTAGCCTGAGCGATCAGACAACACAAAGAAATAAAAGGCATCCAACTCGGGCAGGAGGAGGTCAACTTTCACTCTTTGCAGATGGCATGATACTCTATATTGAAAACCCAAAAGATTCCACCAAAAAACTGCCAGAACTGATCCATGAATTTAGCAATGTCGCAGGATATAAAGTCAATGTACAGAATAGGTTGTATTCCTGTACACCAATAATGAAGCAACAGAAAGAGAAATCACAGAAGTGATCCCATTTCAATTGCACCAAAAACCGTAAAATACCTAAGAATAAATCTAACCAAAAAGGTGAAAAGTCTATAACTGAAAACTATAGAAAGCTTATGAAAGAAATTGAAGAAGACAGAAAAAAAAATGGGAAAAGATTCATGCTCCTGGATAGGAAGAACAGATACTGTTAAAAATGTCAATACTACCCAAAGCAATCTACATAGTCAATGCAATCCCTATCAAAATAACAACAGCATTCTTCACAGAGCTAGAACAAACAATCCTAGAATTTGTATGGAACAAGAAAAGACCCGGAATAACCAAAGGCAATCTTGAAAAAGAAAACCAAAGCTGGAGGCATCACAATCCTGGACTTCAAGATGTTTTACAAAGCTGTAATCATCAAGACAGTATGGTACTGGCAGAAGAACAGACACTCAGATCAATGGAACAGAATAGAGAACCCAGAAACGGACCCACAAACATATGGCCAACTGATCTTCGACAAAGCAGGAAAGAATATCCAATGGAATAAAGACAGTCTCTTCAGCAAGTGGTGCTGGGAAAACTGGACAGGACCACTTTCTTACACCACACACAAAAATAAACTCAAAGTGGATGAAAGACCTAAACGTAAGACAGCAAGCCATCAAATCCTTGAGGAGAAAGCAGGCAAAAACCTCTTTGACCTTGGCCACAGCAACTTCTTACTCAACGTGTCTCCTGGGGCAAGGGAAACCAAAACAAAAATGAACTATTGGGACCTCATCAAAATAAAAAGCTTCTGCACACTGAAGGAAACAATCAGCAAAACTAAAAGACAGCCAATAGAATGGGAGAAGATATTTGCAAATGACAATCAGGTAAAGGGTTAGTATCCAAAATCTATAAAGAACTGATCAAACTCAACAGCCAAAAAACAAATAATGCAGTGAAGAAATGGGCCAAAGACATGAATAGACACTTCTCCAAAGAAGACCTCCAAATGGCTGACAGACACATTAAAAAATACTCCACATCACTCATCATCAGGGAAATACAAATCAAAACCACAATGAGATACCACCTTACACCTGTCAGAATGGCTCACATTAACAACTCAGGCAACAACAGATGTTGGTGAGGATGTGGAGAAAGAGGATCTCTTTTGCACTGCTGGTGGGAGTGCAAACTGGTGCAGCCACTCTGGAAAACAGCATGGAGGTTCCTCAAAAAATTAAAAATAGAACTGCCCTACGACCCAGCAATTGCCCTACTAGGTACTTATCCAAGGGAATTGGGTGTGCTGTTTCGAATGGGCGCATGCACCCCAATGTTTATAGCAGTGTTATCAACAATAGCCAAAGTATGGAAAGAGCAAATGTCCATCGATGGATGAATAGATAAAGAAGATGTATATGTGTGTGTGTGTGTGTGTGTGTGTGTGTTTGTGTGTGTGTGTGTGTGTATGCATTATATGCTAACTAACTTGGATGTAAATTTAAAAATTAATCACATATCTGCTATAACTAAATGACTAAACAATTAAAGTTGAAAAAAAGAAATTTTGATTTGTTGAGAATCTTTCCTAATATTATGTAATAAATATGTTTTCATGTATCTGTATGATATTTGTTTTTGAAATTTTTAATACCTGCTTAATAGTTCATTGAGTTACAAACCCCTATAGCTGGACCTTTAGGCTAATTCCTATTTTGTACTATTATAAATAATAATTCAGAGAAGCATCATTAGAGAAGCATCAGCTTTTTTTTCCCTTGTGAATTATTTATAAAGTATTAAACTGCTAGTGGGGTAACTAGGTTGAGAGCTTAAGCATTTTTATAGCTCTGTGTTACCAAATCATTTTATAATGTCAGTATATAATTGGGTCGAACAGTTTGCTTGAAGCCAACATCAAGGTTTTATTAAAATACATTTCTGAAAATGATAATCAGTCATTTAAAATAGATACATTTGGGCATCTTTAACAAATCATGATGAATTGAGGCAATTGAATTTAGTTAATTATTCATGTGTGGTTTCCTATTTAAGAATTTCTAAGAAAGGAATGTCAACCCAAGATATATTTTAGATTAGTACCTAATTTGGGTTACTGCAAGCTATGTGGAACATATAATTCTCATTTTAATATAGAAGATAGTCACCAGTCCTTATCTCTAGCTCTAATTTAAAAAGCCCTAGCTATTTCACTAGAACCGTGTATGCTGAGACAGCCATAGCAAACTAGGAAATGTACGAAAAACATTAAGGGACAATATACGTAGCTTTTGCATTTATTTTATAGTTATGTAAACAGTCCATGCATTAAGACTTGTAAGCTTGCACACCAGAAAGTAAATTTCCCGTCTCTTCAGACTGTTTAGCATAATAACCTAGCAAAAGTCATTATCTCGCAGCTAAAGTCATTTCTATCTCCCATTTCAAATTATAAGGAGCCTGATTCTAATATGTGACTGAAAATGAATGATCTTTGGTGCAAGGGCTTAGGGTCCCAGTGCATTCTATGTCAACACTCTTGCTTTGGCTGTTTTTCTTTGAGACCAAAAGAACTTCATACATAAATCAGATTAGAAGTTTTTAAAACAGATCTAAAATCCTGGGTGGTCTTATAAATTACATTAAAACACTCTAGTATAGGCTAATCAGGTTCTAGGATAGCCCTAAGGACATACGGTCTTCCCTGGGCAGAGTCTGAGAAGACTTCTGTGGTCTTGGGAATGGTCTTGAGCGATCTAGCCAGCCAGGCAGCCCTTTCTGGGTAAGAGAAATAACTTCATCGCTCACCCAAGTTTTTAGCTGTACTGTTAACCAAATTCTTCGGCAACCACAAATGTAAACTAAATTTGATGTTAAGAGTATCCTACATCTCAGAGTCTAATTCATTTTTTCTACCTTCTACCTCTTGAAAGACTTGCCAGAACTATGCCCTAACTTGACCAAAGCAATACGTACCAATCCCAGGTCCATTTTTAAAATGTACCAAATGGTAGAATTTAATTCTACTGATATAGAGACTTAAAATGTAACAACATAATTGCAGTTTAAATGTTATTTTCTACTGTGTTTCTTTCCTAGTGATACTATTGTAAGGAAGGTACAAACTGTACAAACTGTATTTTGGCATCTAATTCAGAATTTTTTATTTTATCTTAAATAAACCGATGGACAGGAGGAGCAGTGTTGTTTATGTGCTATTTATTCCCTCTAGGAACATTTCATGGAAGTAATTCGAAACCAGGAATTTGTACTATTACCAGCCAGCGAAATTGCGAAGCTCTTGGCCAGCGATGACATGAACATTCCTAATGAAGAGACGATACTGAATGCACTTCTAACTTGGGTCCGTCATGATTTGGAACAGAGACGGAAAGATCTCAGTAAACTTTTGGCTTATATTAGGCTACCTCTTCTTGCACCACAGGTAAACTGTTTGATTATTTAATCAGCATCATAATTTCAACAACATTTGAGTATTTACTTCATGCTAATTATGTTAATATGTACATGTCTGTAGGTTTTTTCCTTTGATTATTCTATCTGATAAGGTCGTTTTACATATACTCCTATGAAATGCATAGTTGAAAAGATACTTAGGTAAAAAAATTTCTGCTTATGTTTTCTTTTTTTTAAGCTTATTTATTTTGAGAGAGAATACGTGTGCATGCACACACATGGGAGGTGGGGAGGAAGAGAGAGAATCCTAAGCAGGCTCTGGGCTGTGAGCACAAAGCCCAGCCTGGAGCTCAATCTCATGAACTGTGAGACCATAACCTGAGCTAAAATTAAGAGTTGGATGCTTAACCAACTGAGCCACCCAGGTGCCCCTCTGCATATATATATTCAACCCAGAAGGTCTGGCTACCTAAATTCCATGAATTAAATAACATTTTCACTTAGGGGTTAGTAATTTTATTTGACTCAACTAGAAACCTATCCTAGCAATTGAGAATTAGTAAAGCTGCTAATGCAAGTAGCAATGGACACTAGGAACCAGAAAAATTCGATTAATTCATTTGCTACATGTTTACTAAGTATCCACTAAATGCTGGATTCTGGTGATATATAAACTGAGACATGATAAAGAGTTCCAGCTCTGACATTTTAAAATTCTGTATCTGGGCATCTTCACACACCTCAGTCTCTTAGTCTATCAGATGGAGATAACATTCTCTTTGACTGTCTCACAGGATTAAGATGAGAAAAGGGCTCTGTGAAACCAAATGTGCTATAAATAATCATGGTAGGATTATCAGCATCGTTTTAGAATTGAGAGACATCTAGTTAGTATATTCAAGGTGATCAGTCATAACATATTTACATGCATAGGTTCCCCTTTGTACAGTTCTAACTGGAATGTGCAGCAGTCTCCCCTTATCAGCAGTTTGGTTTTGTGGTGTCAGTTACCCACAGTCAGCCATGGTCAGAAAGCAAATGATCCTCCTTCTGACGTCTTGTCAGATCATTAGTTAGCCTAACACTACATCGCGGTGCCTATGTTACCCACCTTACTTCAGGTCATCACGCAGGCATTTTATCATCTTCTGTCATCACAAGAGAAAGAAGGGCACGTACAGTACAATAAGATATTTAGAGAGAAAGGCTGCATTCACGTAACTTGTATTACAGTATTATAATTGTTCTATTTTATTATTTGGTATTGTTGTTAATCTCTTACTGTGCCTCGTTTTTAAATTAAACTTTTTCATAGGTATGTATGTATAGGAAAAAAACATAGTGTACACAGGGTTCGGTACTATTTGCAGCTTCAGGCATCCACTGAGGGTCTTGGAACATATCCCCCATGGTTAGGAGGGGGGACTTCTGTACAGTAATTTCTACTGCCTATTTTGCTGCTTATCTTGAAGGCTTGAATAGGGAAAGAGGCCTTGAAAGTGAAGAAAGAATGAGCTGTTACTACTCGAGATCAGATTTTTGTTGTTTCAAGTGCATCAGTTTTATCTTACCTGCATTTATCTTGGGCATTATGTATTATTTCCAGCCATTGTTAGCAAAAGTTACTGTTTGCTGTCTACCTTATAGAGACAAAAATTAGCGCTGATACTTTATAAGAAAGATCTTCTCTTTGGAAGGAAGAATTTTCTATGAATTCATAGGAATGAAACTGCATGAATTTATGACAATTCAGGAAAAATAACATTGTAAAACATGTCCTTTGAAATCAGGTTTTAAAAAGAGAGTTATATTTTACTGATACTTTGCAGAATTTTTTTTCTTATCCTTTTCTAGATTACAGAAAATAAGGGGCGCCTGGGTGGCGCAGTCGGTTAAGCGTCCGACTTCAGCCAGGTCACGATCTCGCGGTCCGTGAGTTCGAGCCCCGCGTCAGGCTCTGGGCTGATGGCTCAGAGCCTGGAGCCTGTTTCCGATTCTGTGTCTCCCTCTCTCTCTGCCCCTCCCCCGTTCATGCTCTGTCTCTCTCTGTCCCAAAAATAAATAAACGTCGGAAAAAAAAAATTTAGATTACAGAAAATAAAATGTGAAAAATCCTAGTAGACTTTGAAAAAAATCTGTGCAATTAAGTAACCTGATAATTGACTTCAGTGCTGCAGTTTCAAATATTTATGATACTGTATTTGCATGACTCTTTAAAATTTCTGTTATCCACAGTACTGCTGATAATCATAGGCATAAGATCTTAGAGTTAAAAGGCAGCCATTTAGTCTAACACCTGTTGTACAAATGAAGTAACAGACTAAAAAAGTAAAACCATATGCTCAAAATCATAAAGTGATTGCATAAATTCCTGTCCTTCTCCATTGTAGTTCTGTTTGCCTTTGCTACTTGACTAACATAGAGCTAATAAAAGATGGAGGTAGAACTTGAACCCAAGTTAAGTTCTGTGCCATTCTCACAGAACCATTATGCCTCTTGAATGTACTATATGTAAAATTGCTGGGTGAGAAGAAGAATATCAAGTTGAGGAAGAAATAGATTAAAACATAAATTTGTAATTACAATATAATGAGAGGTAGGCTGTGATAGATACATGAACGTGGCATTATAGAAATAATCTGAGTAGCTACCCAGAAGAGGGGGCAGGATAGCCCAGGAGAGATAGGAGATTATATCTAGTTATGGAGTCATGAGCAATGCATCATGCCCTGGAATTTGAAGAGTGCTTGCATGGCTTGAGAGCAGAAATAAAAGGTGTGGAGAAACAGAGAATCTCTAGTTATGCCAAAGAGTTTGTGTTTTATCCCAGAAGCATTGAGGAAGCACTAAAGTTTAAACAGAGAATGGCATAATTAACATTTTATTTAGGAAGATCCTCTAACAGTGTTGCAGAGATTAGATTGGAATGGTCAAGGTAGAAATCCATTACGAAGACTATTAGATTCAGGCAAGTGAATTAAGCCCTCTCTGGCAGTGGAGGTAGAAAAATTACCAGGCTCAAGAGCTATTTAGGAATTAGAATTGATACAAGTTAATGATCAGTTGAAAGGGGAGGGTACAAATAAAAGAGGGCTCCAAAATGATTCTGATTTGTCCAAGTAGGTTAAGGAAGGTGCTGTCAATTAAGACAAGGAATTGAGGATGAAGAGCTGATTTTGAAGGTGAGAAGAAAGTGGAAGAATCATGTTCCCAGAGCTTCTTGGTACCTTTAATCCTCTTGGAGTCTAGGAAGGAGTTTTGAAAATTTATTATTAGGTTGTTGAAGCCAAAAGGAAGAGAATGACATGACCAAAGAGAACACAAGGGCACTAGGAGTGGAACCCTAGGAAATAGTAGGATTTAGTGGTAGTTCCTAAACCTGCCTAAATAACTGGAGTGCTGTTAAAAACAGATTCAAGTCTGGGGCGCCTGGGTGGCTCAGTCAGTTGAGTGTCTGACTTTGGCTCAGGTCATGAGCTCACGGTTTGTGAGTTCGAGCCCCACGTCAGGCTCTGTGCTGACAGCTCAGAGCCTGGAGCCTGCTTCAGATTCTGTGTCTCCCTCTCTCTCTCTCTCTCAAAAATAAATAAAGATTAAAAAGAGATTCCAGTCTAAGAAGGAGGAAATTTTAACATTATCAGATATTATGATCTTGTTCAAAGAGACAAGATAATGACAGAAAATCCATTGGATTAGCCCATTTGTTTCAAATTGTGGTCTCCAAGTATAGGATCAGCACCACCTGGGAAGTTGTTTAAAATACAAAATATGGGGAGGGACCAAGATGGCAGAGCAGCATGGAAGTTTCTTGTGTCTCTTGTCCCTGAAATGCAGCTAGAACAACACCAAACCATCTTGCACACCTAAAATATTGATCTGAGGGTTAACTCAACAATCTGTGTAACTTGAACCAAGAACTCAGCAGGAATTCACCCCAAAAGAAAGAACAGGAAGAAACGACAGCCAGGGACTTAATCAACACAGACACAAGCAAGATGTCTGAACCAGAATTTAGAATATGATAATAAGATTACTAACTGGGGTTGAAAAAAAGCATAGAATCCCTTTCCGTGGAGATAAAAGAAGTAAAATGTAGTCAGGACGAAATTAAAAATGCTGGGGCGCCTGGGTGGCGCAGTCGGTTAAGCGTCCGACTTCAGCCAGGTCACGATCTCGCGGTCCGTGAGTTCGAGCCCCGCGTCGGGCTCTGGGCTGATGGCTCAGAGCCTGGAGCCTGTTTCCGATTCTGTGTCTCCCTCTCTCTCTGACCCTCCCCCGTTCATGCTCTGTCTCTCTCTGTCCCAAAAATAAATA